ATGGATGGAGTCTCTCTCCAGAAAGGAAACCAGACAGGGCTTTAGAGACAGGCAAGAGCTTGCTTTCTGAGAGGGAATTTCATTTCTCAGTGCTTCTGGGATCTGATGCTTTAACAAGTTGGTTGGTTAGCCACTAACAGAGATGCAGTTGTCCAAACATCTACAACTGAGGTGTGTATGTGTGTATGTGCGTGTGCCCGTGTGTTTGAGAGATCACATGTTTATCTGTACCAATGCTATCAGATCTGAGAAGGATTGTTGTAGCTACATACTACACTGATTCAATTAGAAATAAGCCTCTAACATCTATGGCAATAATTCTGCTATATCATCATAAATAAAAAAAACCATTCACTGTATATTTGCTCTGTGATGGGCTCTATAGTAGCTATTTTATGTTCCCAACCATTTTCTGATATGTTACTTAAGATTGTATTGACTAGAGGTAGCAGAAACTCAGCTTCAATGGTTTGACCACATGAGGGGATTTTTGTATTTTCATGGAGTAAGAAGTTCAGCTGTAGATAGTTAGAGCAAATACAGGGCCCTTGATGCCATCAGAAACTAGGTTCCTTTGTTAAAAGATTTCTTTTTCATGTTCCCAGCTGGCTGCTCTATTTCAGCTGTCACAACTGATTTTTTGGTAAGAAGTAGGAAAAGGGAAAGGCTAAGAGGTAAAAACTAAGAAGATAACTGGAAGCTGATTATATGCCCTCGAACGAGCTTTCTCAGAAACTCCAGCTGGTACCTCCACTTGCACCTCATTGCCTAGAACTGTGTTGCATGACCACGTCTGGCTGCTATGGAGTCAGGTAGTCTAGAGGGTTTAGAGAGCCCCCTTGCTTAGTGAGAAAGAAAGATGGCTGGCCGTTGGCTTTTAACTAGTAGCACCTACCTCTAGTAACTAATGTTGGTTCAATATTTATAGATAAGATAAGTAGAATTAGACAGATGTTTGCTAAAGGTCACCTAGCTAGGGAGTGACAGGTGAGACCAGAATCCAGGACTGTCTGACTCCAAAGACACTTTCTTAAATTCTGTGCTATAATTTGTTCCTGAGGCTTGGTGATTTGGGGGGCTAGAAAACAGAGGACTTCAGGGTTCCTCTTAGGAACAGGAAGGGGAATTGACTTCTCGACTTATTTCAGAATAGATTTGTGACTGACATATGAAAGACAAGGAAAGCAGATTTGGGTGCAAGACAAGGAGGTATTTTCCAAATAATAACCAGCTGTTAGTGATACAGGCCATGTGCAGTCTCTCAGGAGCATTTGTGAAGAGATTGGATTGGCTCTCAGAGGAGATCCTTGAACTGGCAGGAGTTTGGGTCTATCCTGAGTTCAAGATTCTGGTTTATAAAACAAAAGTGGCTGAGATAGAACAATTTTGGAAAAAGGAAGGTGTTTGAATTCAGTATAGATGCCTCCTGGTTGTCCGAACTAGAGTGACCATATCATTGATTTATGGTCTAAACCAGAACATGTTTTTTGAATAAAAGAAGGGTTCTTTAGAAATTATGTTGGGTCAAAGGGGAATACTAGGATGGGCCCAGATCAGTCCAAAGCTGTGGCTCCTCTATTCTTGGTCTCCTAATGAGCACAGGACTGGGGAGGCCTGGATTTGTAGGAACTGACAGCTGGGTGATAGCCAGAAAGGACGGACACCTCAAGCTATAGAGCTCTCCACTTCTGAAGGCTGAGCCTTCGAAGAGGCCCCGTATGTGATGGGCTTTGGTGACAGGTGTTGAAATCTTATAGACAGGGACGACATGTGTCACACTGGAAACATGAGCTTGACATAGACCCGTGCGCCCTGAGTCTCCTCTCAAATGACTCATTCTTCAGAGACACTGAGCTTGGATAACACTGGGTTACTTTCTGACTCAGGAACCCAGCCCTGCCAGCCTGGAAGGACATGGATTTCATACATCCTGATCACCTCCTGAGCTTTTAAAAACTGCTTTTCTGGTTTGCTGAGTGACCTTGAGCAAGTCACAACCTCTCTGTATGGTTTGGCTTCTCCTGTAGAGGAAATCAAATGGTGGAAATGATGGTTGTGCAACAGAAAAAAAATGATTCAAGATCTTCCAATGAAAGATACCACATGGAGCCAAGTGATATTATTTTTATGACAGTTTTTAGTAGAAGTGTTTCTTGTCCCATCCCCTCTCATTAGGCCACAGGGCACAGAGTAAACACAGGTTTGGCCAGTGATGGGTATTTGATGATGTTGGCACCAGAGATGAAGGGGAGGAATTTCTCTCTGGCTTTCATTTCACTATTAACCTGATAATGCCCGGATCTAGGTGCTTACTAGTGTGGAAACAGGAACCAGTGAGAATCTCGTCTATTGTTTTATAGCAGAGGCAGCCTGATCAGGAGACCTTTTAATAATGATGCAATTAAAATATTGTCTTTAGTCCTTCCTTAATTCCTTTATTCAATAAATATTGATTGAGTGCCTCTGTATGCCAGGTCCGTTTCCCAATCATAGAGCAAGGTGTGTAAGGACAAGCATTAAGCTCTCCGCTGTTTGTTGGATCAAGGAATTTATCCCAGGTAAGGTTTGAGAGCTGACCTCTTTTCATAATTATCTGTTCTGTCTCAATGCCAGGGGTAAATTCAAAACTGTTCTTATCCATTTTCTAAAGGAACAAGACCAAATTCCTTAACATGGTTTAGAAGAGGGATGGAAGAACATTTCAGTACAACTTTTAAAACTGAGTTGGGAAGGAAAACTGTACACTGATCCCCCATACATTAAAACTGACCAAATCTTGTAATGGGCAATCACTCATTGACAATCATGAAGTACATATAGTGCCCAAATCACTAATCTCCTTCAAACACACACAGTGACAAGTGATTTTATTTTCCAGAGTCTGGAGTAGATTTATAACCTTCTGTCCCAATTTCCATCATTGATCAATCATGTGGTCATGCAATTAAGTGGTTTTGTCTTTCTTCCCACTGAATCATATAGAATATTTTGCAAAGGGTGCCCACAGATGACTAACATCCAATTTTCCTGGGATGTCTGTTAAGAATCCAAATTCCTGGCCTCCACCCTTCCCACCTCTGCCTCGATGCCAGGGATAAATGCAAAACTGTTCTTATCCATTTTCTAAAGGAACAATACCAAATTCCTGAGCATGATATAGAAGAAGGGTCAGGGTTTGGCACCTGTTTATCTTTCTGTCTCAATTCTTACCGAGCCCTTTTTGAACAACAAGTTCCATCTATTAGACTTTTCCACAGGTCCATGTCTATCCAGTTCTTTTGCACCTCCAGGCTAGGGGTTGGCAGACATCTTCTGTAAAGGGCCAGACAGTATTTTGGTTTTCTGGTTCATGCATTTCTGTGGTTCAGTGCTGCTGTTGTAGTGTCAAAACACTATAGACAAAGTGTAAATAAATGAATGAGCATGGGTGTGCACAAATGAAACTTTATTCATAAAATCAGGCAGCAGTCTGGATTTGGACATGGGCTATAGGCTGCTGATCTTTGCTCATACTATGGTCTTTTGCTTATTTCCATTAAACTACTATTTCTCCCCCCATTCATTTGACCATTATATATTTGATTGCCACTGAAAGTCTAAGGCCTTTCCCTGCCACCCTGGGTGGTCACTAACAACACTGTAGTCTGCAGATGATAGAAAATCATCCCTGCAGATGATAGAAAATCAAACCTATATTTTCCCCCCTAACTTAATTGTAATTTTCATTAATTCATTTTTGCATGAATGACTTCACTGAGTTATTCATTTAACAATATTTACTACGGGACCTTCCATGGGGCAAAATGGATGACTTTTTCATGTTCGTGCAACACCCTGCTGAAAGTCTGGCACAGAAGACACCCCTGATACAATATTATTATTTTTAAATTTTATTTATTTATTTTTTTGGTACTGGGGATTGAACTCAGGGGCACTCAACCACTGAACCACTTCCCCAGCCCAATTTTGAATTTTATTTAGAGACAGGGTCTCAGTGAGTTGCTTAGCACCTCACCATTGTTGAGGCTGGCTTTGAACTCATGATCCTCCTGCCTCAGCCCCTGGAGCCACTGGGACTACAGGCGTGGACCATTGCAACCGGCCAGTGATACATTCTTACTGAATAAAAGGAGAAAGAACTCAGTAAACAAATCCTTTGCCAAAGCTACATTGTGTCTTTGTGATAAGTGCCCCATGGTGAAACAAATGATGTTGAAACCTCTCTGTTGGGAGGAGGGATTTGGTAAGGAGCTTTTCTTTCTAGGTTTCTGGAATCTGGTCTTGAATAGTTTGGTCCTTCCCACCCATTATCCATTCTAGTCCCTTTTCCTAGGAACTGGGATCCTGCTTTCTGGTGACTTCTGTGGTGACATCTATGACCAAAAGTAATAGTATCAGCTTCCAAACTCCCTCAGGCAGGTGGTAGACTCATGTGAGCTTCTAGGTCGCCAATACAGTGGCCAATACTGCAGTGCTTTTCTTATTTTTACTTTTATAAGTGGGAACTTAAATAGCTCACAGCATGGTGATATTGAAATAACTTTTTTGGAGAGTCTAAAAAAAATATTTTTCATCCAGTCTCTGGCTCTTCGAGAGTGATTTTGAGGTAAATGTAAAAAAAAAAAAAAAAAAAAGGGAAGCTTCTTGATTATTCATTTTACAGACATTATTTCATGAATTCATTGGAATCAAAATGTATTGTAAGGAGAGCTTCCGCCATCTTCTCCCACTTGCAACCTATTCTGATTGTAAGCAGAAGAGTTATTTAACTGACTGTCACCAATGGAACCAAAATGACTTCATTCAATCTCAACTTGGCCAGAAGTCCGATTTTCAAGGGTTACCAGGAAGGTAATGTGTTTGTAGTCAGAGGAGAGAGAAGAAAATGGTTACAGCTGGTTACAAAACAAACATCAAGCCTCCGCCCTGTTTCTCATGTTACCAAGGCAAATAGGAAAGAAGCCAGGAGGGGGCTGGGGGATTGTGGCAGAGTGTGTTGGGTAAACACTATGGAAACTGGAGAATGTTCTGGGTCTCCACTTTTTCTTTTTTTTTTTTTTTTTCAATAGAAGAAACCAGTAAGGGAGGTGGCAGTTCAAGAGTGAACACAAGGCTCTCTGTTTACCAGCTTACCCCCACAGGTAACAGCAAACTCTGTCAAAGTTCCTGTGTGCCTGGGCCTTCTCACCAGCCTGAGCTAACACTCCAAGGCTTCTGTGGGGGAAACCAAGGTGGGAAGAACTGGCCACCTGTGGAGGCCGGGGGAAGGAGGGGAGTGGGGGGCAGGGTCACAAACTGACCTTTGGTTACAAAAGAAAAATAAGGCAGTGGTGTAAACTGAACAGGACCACAAAAGGGTAGTAAACACAGAAAGGACAGAGTGGAGAGTGTGGCGTTGGTAAGCTAACCCTGTTGCAACAGGCACTCACGCAATTTAGTGGTAAGAAACTTCTGGAAAGTTCCTCATTTAGTAAGCTGTTGTCACAGTATATTTTGAATTGTTTTATAGCAGTGTTTGTGTGTGTGTGTGTGTGTGTGTGTTAGGTGGACAAGACATTGGCAAATGAGTTTCGTAGATAAATTTGCTGCTAGCTTGACTGCGGTAGTCAAGTTTAAAATAAAACACCGTCTTCACTTTGTTTCTGGCATGAACACTTTACTTTTGAGAATTCTCATGAAAAGTTTAGTGTCACCATTTGGCCACATCTAACAGCATCCATATGCACATGTCCTTTGACTCTGCCTTTCTACTTTTAGAAATCCATTCCATAGTTCTATTCATATATATGTGCAAAAAATATGTGTGTGGGAGTAAAAATTTGGAAGCCACATTATGTCTATCAGGAGGGGCTGGGTAAATTATAGGACATTTATATTATAGTGCAGTTGCATAGATTTGCAGGAAACCCCTCAATGTGTGCTAAGTTTTGCTAAGGAACATAAGAGCATATGGAAGGGTGTGGATATGCAAATATGGTTGCACATACATTGGATATTTCTAGATGGATGCCCAAGAAACACAACAGTGAATACCTCTATGGAGAAGATTCCAGAGATCGATAGAAATTTACTTCTACTCTGTAACTGTTTGGCACTGTTTGAAATTTTTATTGGCCGGGTACATAAATCATTTTTAAAAAATTAATGGTAATATCATTCTCTCCAATTATGTAGGGTTTGCTGCTGGTGGTATCAGTCAGTGCTCAAAAGAACATACTGAAATATCTGGTCTGATTTCATGAACTAAAAATGGTTCAAAACTCCATGGAAGAAGGCATCTTTCAGTTAAGTGTATATTTGGGAAGACTATTTTGGTATCTAATGAATAATAGAGAACATTGATTTAAACTGCTGTTTTTGTGCCAGCAGTTTGGAAACCTAGGGAGCTGCGCCTCTGCCCAGGAAGTCATAGCAAAGGCCTTTTGATGTTGAGGGGCACCCTGCCTGAAAGCCTACAGAATCATTAATTAAAAGCCTCCAGCTTCTCTCCTATATTGCAATTCCATAGCTCTTACAGAGTCATTGCTGCCTTTCTCCTTTTGCCTGAGGATGTCAGAAGCATGTTAAGAAGGATAAACACCCACTGATTTATTTACATTAAATAATACCCTGCTCACTCCCAGCAGCCAATAAAATCAGTGGGCTTTGGAAACCAGTCACATGACAGCACCCTAGCAACTCCTTTCTGAAGTAGGGTTCATGGCTGGAAAAATAAGTACAGAAGAGCAGCCAACACACATTCTTTTGTGAGACCTGCCACTGAATCAACCCTGGGTACTCTGGGGGAGGGTTCATGACAGTGGGAACTTTATTTAACCTTTCTATTAATGTTTCTATTGGCCTGTGTTATCTCTTGCAATGTCAAGTGCACGGTTAATTAACCCTTTCTTGGCCTATGCCACCTCTCTTTTCAGATTGTAAGCTCCTTAAATGCTAGATTGGAGTTACTCATTCATTCATTTACAGCCCAGATATTTAATGCCTACCTGCTACAGGTGTGAGCTTTTGCTAAGCCCTGGGCGGTGCAAAGATGAGGAAGACATACTCCTTGCTTCTGGGACGCTCACAATCTTCTAGAAGTCTCTTCCCAGTCTGATGATCTTATTCAGAACTGGGTCTTCCAAGGTTATTGGCACAAAAATCACTCAGGAAGTCACTGAACAAACCCTGGTTGATTGAGAAGGGGTTCAGGCTGTGAACCTAGAATGGTGTCATGAGACTACGGTGTGCCATACATTTTTGCTGATGAGCTCTGAGTAAATTACCAGACAATTTCTCCAGACCTCTTGGATATTTAGAAATTTAATTCCTTCCTTTCTTAGATCCTTTCTGGATCTGGGAATGGAATTTCTTTTAGGGTTGAGGACAGTTATTCTGGCCCCACAATAACTTGGGCTACACATTCTTTAGGAAGTAGGCTTGCTTTTCATATGGACAAAAAAATTTTCACCAACAAAGGGGCACAGGAAAGGGGAGGAAGTCAAGGAAAGCAACATTTCCTGAGTGCCCACTCATGGCTTCCCCTCATTTAGTGAACTACCACCCCAGGAAAACAGCAACACTCATGTGCAAAGAGATGTGCATTTAGGTTTGGGTCTAGGGGTCAGTGGGTGATATATCACCACACACACACACACACACACACACTCATACACACACGTGTATATAATTATGCTGTATTTATAATTTAAAATTAAATGACTTATAAACTACTCTGCTATGAGCCTAAAGAATTAGAAGCCACGATCTATGCCCTCGAGAGTGCAAGAAAGAGAGAGAGAGAGAGAGAGAGAGAGAGAGAGAGAGAGAATAAGAAACACATTCAAAGTTAAATAGCCACATGAAAATTATGTAACAGTACAGAGAGGATTTTAGAGCTGGCTGGATTCACAGCAAACATTTAAACCAGAGTTTCCTAAAATAGTGTGTAAACATCATTGATGGCATGAAAGATGATTTGAATATAAACAGCTTAAAATTTCATTAGGCATTTATTTTAACATGCATTAGAAAAATCTAGACCTAGCATATCAAGCCCTTGTGTACATGAATATTACTGCTTACTTTGAGGTTACCAAAAAGATTTAAAGATTATCTAAAGGAAAGTATTAAGTAAGTAGCTGTATAGAAGATGTGGAACAGGGACATGGCAAAGAGTCTGCAGGTGTCATTCGAATGGCCTGAGTCTGGGAGAGGCAGACCAAATTCAATCTCTGGGATGAAGAGAGGTTCAGCTAGTTGCTCAAGGTCACGGAGCTAGTGGAGATCATAGACCAGAATGTGGTCACCTGACTGATCCTCTGCTCCCACATCCTCCTTCACTCACTACTTCCTATTTTGCAGATGAGGAAATTGTAATCTGAATAACAAGTTGCCTCTTTTGAATATGACTATCACAAAAATCTGACTGCAAAGTAGAAAGCATTGAGTTGGCTTCATGAAAAATGAACTTTAATATTTATAGAGTGCTTACTATGCATGCCAGTATTACAAAGATTTCATACATAATAATTTATGGTAATCCCCACACCATTCTGTGGGATGCACTTAGATTATTTCTACCATCTCTCTTGTCATATGAGCAAAACAAGGAGCAAAGATCAAGTAGCTTTCTTAGGTCACTATTTGCATAGATGGGATTTGAACCCAGGTAGTCCAGCTCCAGAATTTGTCCACTCAACCATGACCACATTCCTCACCAATAAGTGAAGAGGTGAAAGGGCAACTTGTTTACCTGGTGGCATTGCAAAAACTCTGTTCAGACAATATGGTACGTTCCTGTCCCCTCCTGCCTTGAATTTTCCAACGGGTGCCTTGCTCCACTCTATGGAACGTGTGGGTTTTCCACACCATCACTTTTCAATGTGCAGAGATTCTTGAGAGGTATCCCTGAGCGCCAAGAGCAATCCTTTTATAAAGACAATCTGTGAGTTTACTATGATGAGAACTATAAAGAAACAGTCCCACCTCCAAGGTTGAGAGGCAAAGTATCCATAGGTGGTGACTGGACGGAGAGGTAGTTGGGGGACATGGTGGGGCTGAGAGTGACAGGAGAGGAGGCCCAGGGAGGACTAGCCCAGTGCTCCACAGGGGGCCACCAGGTGTTGAGAAAGCCCTGCTGGGTGCCTAGCACTTGGCACGGCACCTGGTATGAAGCAGGTGCTCAGAGCTATGTGGAGCGCATGGGAGCCTGGGTGCAAACAGAGCCCAGCAGGGAGGCGGGCAGCAGGGCAGAGACTGGAGGTGAGAGAGCACCGAACACACTTGACCTACTTTATAACTTCGCTCCAGGTAAGCCCTAGGAGGACAGCACAGTGCCAAATTTCCAGTCAACAGACAAAAGACCTTTGCCCAAACCACAGACAGCATTCCTGCTGTGGCTGGAACTTTGAGGAAGTCCGCTTTGTGTTGGTTACCCTTCAAAGGGGCCTCTGTTCAGGCTTCTGGCCCACTCTGCCTTAGCTTGACAGTCTCCGTTCTTCCTCCCTGCAGGGTGCTTCAGGGTAGGCCATGGCCATCTGGGACCTGTCACCAGCCTCCTCTGCACTGGTGCCACAAGAGGATCAGCCTGTGGCACTTCTGTCTATCTCTCCAGCAGGTGCTGACAGCCAAGCCATTCCACACACCTTTGGGACAAAGCACTGCCCAGCAGCCAGGGCCAAGTTCAGAGCCTGAACATTCTTTCACAGGCTCGGTGGAGAACCTGGAGGGCCTGATGGCTCATTATATAAGCTGCACGTTGGGGACAAACCACTGATGGGCAGACCCTGGTGCTCCTGGAATTGCGTAAGCTGTATGTACTTGTGAAGTGTCACAACGCGACTCCGCGTCTCTATCAAAAATGTGAGAAGGCCACCCTGCTCACACTCAGACTGCACAAAAGCTCTTCGCCACCAGGTGGTTAAGGCCACTTGATCAGGCTGACAGGAGGGACAGGCCACCTTACTGTAGCTCTTGGCCCGGTGAGCCGAACACTCAGTACCTTGTGGCCCACTAGTCTTAGGCAGCAAAGGCCTCTGATAAAATGTCCTTTTTGCGTGTTTTTCCTGGCAGTCTCGTTTTGGGTTATAAATGGCTCATTATTTCCATCCCATAGATCCACTCTTGCCTGTGTTACGTTCTCTTCTTGTTTTCTGAAATAACTGAAAGGTTGGTAAAATCATGGCTGGCAGACCCCGTCTGTACTGACCTTGAGCAGAGGCCGAATCTCCACATGGCTCACGCCGTCTACGGTTGATCCCATGTGGGAGAGGTTGGCTGCAAAGGCCTCCCAAAAGCAAGGGCTATAATTATATTTACACTAAAGTACTTGGTGCCGTTAAATGCCAGGAAGTAGCACGGACCTTCCCCTCACTCGAGCCCTGCAACCTTTCCAGAGGACATTGGGCAATGGTCAGAGGTTGTGAAGTTGGAACAGTGTTGTGCCCAGATAGATCATTTTCCCTGCAGGGCAGCTTGGAGGCAAATTTTATTAAGTATCAAGTAGCTGACCCAAAGCAGTATAAATAGCAAGAGAGCACATGACCAACCAGGAATGAAGGTGGCTGGAGCGCAGGCCAGAGGTCTGTTACATGCTTATTGACAGCACTTGCTCACTGGTGTCTTCCCCACAGCCATCAGGGAAGGCTGGAGAACCACACAGACCGAGATGTTAAAGCATAATCTCAGGGGGAAAAAAAGAAAAAAACAACACTTACTTTTGAAAGTTGGACCCCATAGTTAACCCACAGAAAAGACCTAAGAATGGATTGGAGGTTGAGTGACATTTGGAAGTAGAGACCCAGGCCACCCACGTGAGAGCCCAAGGCAAGCATGAAAACCTGGTTTATATTGGGTAGGGACTGTGAGCAATCACAAATAGGCAAAAGGGACCCAAGTTTGAATTTTTCAAGGGAAGGACAGAGAGAATTTCAATTCAGGTCTGTTCTCCCCAGCATTCCCCACCTTTGCTTTAGGATACACCACATGGTGTACAAGGGCAGAAGGACGGGGCCACAGATGACTGTCAGGAGAGGCCATTGAGCTGCTGCAGGACAGTTTTCATACCCGGCTGTTTCTTGTGTGTCCTGGGTCCACTGGCCAGAGCTGTTGACACCTCACAAGAGAATCTGTGTTCCTACAATGATGGGAGAAGGTTCTGGGGAGGAATGGTGTTAGTGGGATACAGAGTGGAAGTTGCTGAAAATTTCTACTCAGAGATGACAAATGGCTAAGGCATCCTTAGCCCTGCCCCAACTTCCTGTATACCTCGTAAGGGAAGATGTCTGCTTCTTCCAGATCTAAATTCCAAAAATATTTTGAGAGGTGGCAGTATTATTATCATCTGTCCTGTCCCCTCTTTGGGTGAGGATTAAACTCAGGGCCTTGCACGTGTTAGGCAAGTGCTCTACCACTGAACTACATCCCCAGCCCTTTTGTAAGTTTTTTATTTTGAGACAGGGTCTAGCATATTTACTGAGGCTGGCCTAGAACTTACAGTCCTCCTGCCTCAGCCTCCAGAGTCACTGGGATTGCAGGCATGTGCCACTGAGACTGGTTTTTACCTGACCTTTTTAAAGAAGACAAAGGTCACCTACATACATCACTTCTTGTATGTTTATTGGAAATCTGAATCTTTACTTTGTATCTAGAGCAAAGACATAAAGGCCATGAACTTTCGGAGGCCATAAGGGGCTGATGCAGGCAAGGGATTCTTCAGAGGATGTGGGGGACGAATGAGGCTCTGACTCCCTTTCCCAGACTCACCTTTGCTCCCACAGGCTGTTGGCTTCCTACTCAATATTCACTCTGCTTCTTTTCTCCTCCGTAAAACAACTCCAAAGTGGCGATGTGCCTGGCTAAAAGACAGCATTTCCAGCTCCCTTATGGTAGGGATGGCTAAGGAAACCTAAGGAGATATTTTTGGGTGGTCAGGCTTGCCAGAGAAAATATAAGGCACCGAATTGAACTTGAATTTTGGTAAACAGTGAATAATTTTTGATTCTAAATATACATATGAATCTCTCATGTAATATATTTGTATTTTTATTTGCCAAATCTGGCAAATCTATGTGCAGGGATTCTGGGAAATAGGCTAAGACACTCTTTTTTGTCCTTATTTTCCTTTCTCTTTTTTCCTGGGACATGGATGGGGTTACTGGGGTTTCAGCAACCACCTAGAGTCATGTGATTAAAGATAGCAGAAGAGAAAAAAAAGAGAGGAGTGTCTCATGACTGTGTAACTACAGTGTTATTTATGTGTGAGAATCAACCATTGATTTGCTTTAGCCATTAGCTGTGCCTCTATGATTTGTAGTCAGTTGCTATTTGTAGCCAGTTGCTCTGATATAGCAATAATGAAGTGTGTATTGTTGTTTTTCATGTTTGGTTGAGTCTGTTTACCTTATGCATTTTGCTTTTGCCTCTTCTGGAACAAAACCATTCTACTTTTACTTACTATATGTTGTAGTTGAACACAATACCTTTATTTATCTATCTCTCTATCTATCTATCTATCTATTTATTTATTTATTTTTTGTGGTGCTGAGGATCAAACCCAGGGCCTCGCATGTGCTAGACGAGCGCTCTATTGCTAAGCCACGACCCCAGTCCCTACTTACTATAATTTTTAAGGACCCCACGAGAGATGGACAGTGTTCCTTGTATCCTGTGACATGGCACCCTTAACATGTACTTCTACAAGGTGTTATTATCTATTTTGTAGGCTGAATTTACATGTTTTGAATGATTGCTGCAGATAGTAATAATAATAATAATTCTAAGAATAGTTCTTATCTTTGAACAAAGATTTGGCCTGAAAACTCAAGTACTAGAAAAATGATGCTCTGAAACCTTAGAACCATATTTTAAAACAACATTAACAGCATCACTTACATGCTATCAAGATTAGCTAAGGATAATCAGGTGCACAGGAAAATCTAATTTGTATAGTAGTGCATCAATAATTCAGGAATCATGGGAAATCTGATACCTTCCACTTCATTAGCAAGTCAGCTGCTATGAGCAGTCACAGGAAGGTATTCTGGGAGGTGGAGAGGGCTGCAAAGGTGGCCTCTTTGCATATAAGCCCAGGCTAACTGGCTGAGCATAGCTCATTGTCCATGGAAAGAGCAGTTACTTGGGCTATGAACTGTATAAACGCCTGCCCTCCCCTTGTGCAGTGGAATCTTTTGAAGGTTAAGTAACAGTAAATAATCAACCAAGATTTCTCAGATTAGCTGCATTTACCTTTCTCTGAAAAAAAAATTTTTTTTTCCCCCTATGAAGATGAAACAACTTTGGAATGAGAGCTGTATTTCCTTCTAGAACTCCCCATTCAGACCTTCAGAGAGCAGGATCAGACCTGGCCTGGCTGGCAGAGACTGCCTACGGGACATGGCTAGGCTTTGTGATGTGGGTGAGGGGCCATAGGGTTAGAATTTAATGGAAGTGGGGAGAGAAAACTCCCACTTCATTTCATGAGTTTCCACACAGGCCTTCTGGCACCATCTGTCAGCAGGGAAGGGGCCTGCAGAGTCTTGCCTTTCGTCCCTCACTGGGGGTACAGAGAGTCTGGGAGCCAGATCCCAGAGTATGAGCTATATTACAAACCACAACAGCCTCAACTAACTCAAAGGAAAAAATAATACACAAATGGAGAGAGATCAGCCTACCAGACCAGGCCTTGGAGTCTATCATAGGTCATGATGTCATGGTGGTTAGCTCAGAAGAGATGATGGATGACACCATTTGTGTCTAAACCAGAGATGCAAATAAAAGTTGCACAGAAATGAGTTGGGAGGAGGAAAACCAAAGCAAATCTGTTTATTAGTAGCAAATCTGTTTACTTACAATGTAAAGCGGGGAAAAGAACATATTTCTTTTGTCCAGGGCATATTGATTTATATTGACTATCTAATCAGCACACATTTATTGAACTTGTGTGCTGGGCATTGTGCAAACTGACAGCATGCACCTGTTTTTACAGAGCTGGTGGTAGAAAGGGTAACAATGTCTTTGACCTTCCCAGGAAGGTTAGAATTCTACAGGATTCCTCTGTTCCTCAGGCTGGGTAAGAAAAGAGCACAGCCAAAGCCCGTCACCTCTCTTGTGCTGCAATCGCTTAAGATAATGACAATTGCTGTTCTAAACAAAAGTGCAATAATATGTTGGTAGGAAAGTTTGCAATGTTTTCTCCTCCTCCTTCTCCCCCCATCTTCTTTCTTTTAATAGGCTTATTATAAGCCCTGTAGAAAAGGTTAGAAGACCATTTCATGTTACAATTTCTTTCTCTGTTACTAAATAATCACATGACTTCTGGTGAAGTCCTTTAACTTCTCTGGAATGAAGTTTAAACATTCATAGAATGAGATGGTTAAAAAGCAAGAGAATGGTTTAATGAAACCTGGTTTAGGATAAGCAGTAAGAGGAGGTTAAAAGGGAAGCACTACTTGTCACCTGCAAATTGCATAACTTGGGTTATTAAACATCTTGAAGTTTTAGTCTTCTTATCTGAGAAATGAGGATAATGTGGTATTTCTTGCGAAGGGAAAAATGGACTAATAGGTTAGACACCTGGTTCAATGCATGCAGGGGACAACAAATGTCCCCTTGTGAGTGAAGCTATTTTTATCCTATGCAAATATTAATTGACTCCTTGATTTATTGTTCATATGCACACATGCCTGGATATGTGTATTAATGTACATATCATTGCTGATATCTAAGTGGTTATTTGGGAAATATCAACATATTGGGGGCACAAAGGTGAAATGGATTTGGTTTTCCTCCTAAATAGTACTTTCCACAGTTCTATGCTAACCCCCTTTTCTATCCCTCATCAACAGATTGTAGAAATCTGCAGATTTGAAAGGCGAAGCCCATGAACTTTGAATCTTGCTCTGGTTCAAAGCTTCCCTCCTCCTGTCTATCCATGTTTCAGTTTCCCCAGTGGCTTTGGCAAGGAGGAGCAAGGGGGAAGGGACCATCACCCCTTACCTGCCCAGCTGTGGATGCTATATCTCCAGAGAACATGGTTGGCATGCTGGTGCTTCTGTGTTGCAGGCACCAAGGGCTGGTAGCAAGCACATTGTGGGTCTTTGGAGGGCTCTATGGGTCTCCTGAGTGTACATGTCAGTAACCTGAAACCCTCCTCATGATGGACTTCCTCTACTTGTCTCAGCTCTTGCCATAGTCACTACCCTCCAGCCAACTCATCTTGACAGACCATGGCTTGATCTCTCTAGTGTCTAGTGATTTATTTGCATAGTTTTATCAGGATTTGGAAATATGTTCTATGAATGCAGCTTTTGCCCTTGGATGCTCATAACCTAAGCAAATAACCCATGTCGTTTGTTTCTTCTGCCATTTCTAGGCTACCCTCCTGTTGGTCATTGTTCATGCATGTCCCTGGGTTCCCTCATTTGGCACGAGGCTGAAACCATCATGGTCCACTTCCGGAATGCATTTTCTGTTTCTCACCTGCATGGTGAGTGCCTTCAGACAAGGACTGAGCTTTGTACTTCTCTGCTTCAACATCGGCTAGAACAGATTTTACACACTGAGCCTCCATTGCTGTTAGTCCATCATGTGACCCATCCTACAGTTTCCCCACAAACTCCAAGCACCTCCTTACCACATGCAAGGACTTGGTGGTGGTTCTCAAGAAATTGCCATTCTAGTTGGTAAGGGAAGCAGACAGAAAGAGCTGAGATGAGCTGGTGACACCTTCTGCTCCTGCACCATGAGATCCTGTTCTCTTCTATCCTCTCTGCCCCAGTCTGTTTGATATTGAAATGGAAAGATGCCGCAGTCTGGCTGGGCACAATCAGGAGCCACTTGTCAAAAGAAACTAACTTTATTTTTAGAACCACACACGCCAAACAAAACAGCCTCTCAGGAAAAACCCTATAGAGCCTCAACTGCCACCACCGGCTTTCCACAAGCCTCTCTCTCCCACACAAGCTTCTCTCCACCTCCCACAATCCTCCTGCTCTTGAGGCCGATTGGCTGGGTCACGTGGGCGGAGCCAAAAAAGTCCCCCAATGAGCAGCTCCGTGGTCTGAAAGGGCAGGGAAACAGCCCAATGAGCATCACCGCAGAGGAGCCAATCAGCTAGATGTTGCTGGGGCCGAGGAGCCAATCAGCTAGATGTTGCTGGGGCCGCTGTGAGCCAATCATCAGCCAGCAGCTGGAAGTTTGCTGGCAGCTGGAAGTTTGCTGGGGCCCCTTTGGCTGTGGCTCTCAACAGAAAGATGGTGAGAATAGAAGCTGGTAGACTGGCAGTCAAGACTTGACATGAAACATCTTCAGCAGTCACTTGATAAGTGTTTGCACTGTGAAGTGTTCTAGCAACCTCATAACTCACACTGGCAACTCCTATAAACACCCTCTCTTCTGTTTTCCTTCACTCTGCAACTTCTCATTCCACCATTGATGGATTAACTCAGTTTAGTGTTTATCAGATGGACTCAGTGCCATTCTTATAGAGACCAAGTCAAAAAGAACAAACAATTATTTATCAAATGAATGCCATTTAAAAGTATTGTGCTGGTCATAGTATTAGGCATAAAGAAGAAATAAGCTGTCACTTTTGCTCATCCTTCATTGACTGATCCATTTATTTTGTCTTTGCACCAAAGATTCGCGGTATCTTATAGCAGGAAGATATTTCCAGTGCTAGTTCTATTAATTAATGCTTTTTTTTTTCCTCCTGTGTTTCAAGCTTTATCACCAATAATTGGCTCTTGAAATAGGATCTGAACTTCTTAGAGCATTGGCCTCCCTAAGGAAAACCCAGTTACCCCGACCTGCAATTAACTCAATCTATAGCATTCTTTCTCCTTTATTTCATAAGCAAAGCCCTAGAGCTCATGGTCTACACAGTGACCCACTCCCCCTACCCTGTGGACTTCTGAACCCACCACTCTGCTTTCCATGCACTCCATCAAAATCACACCTGCTAAAGTCAAGGTGACTGACCAGTTGCCAAATGCAATGTGTGATCTTCAGTCCTTGACTTAGTTGACATCTCTCCACATTCAATTTTGCCAATGGTTTCCTCCTCCTTGAAACTTGCTCTTCCCTAACACCACCTTCTCTTGATTTTTTCCTCACTCCTACATCCTCCCTTTCTCTATCCTGTTGCAGCAGACTTTTCTTCTGTTTGTGGCTTAAATAGGGCTGTTACCCAAGGTTCCATACTTAGCTCTATTTAATTCTCATTCTACACCCTATTGCCAGGAAGTCTCACTTGTACCTGTGACTTCAGCTGTAACCTATGTACTATATCTACAATAACAACATCATTCCATTTGTGAGGGCAGAACCTTCATGACCTACCTCTTCACCCCTTAAAGTTTCTGCCTCTCAACACTGTTGCTTTGGGATTGTCTTAGTTTGTTTTCTGTTGCTGTTACTCTATTTAAATACTTGATATTAGGCAATCTATAAAAGTTGTTTTTGGCTCATAGTCCTAGAGGCTGGGAAGTTCAAGAGCATGGTGTGAGGCTCCTGGGGAGGCCTCCTGCAGCTTAAACACATGGCAGAAGGCAGAAAGGCAAAGGGGTGCTTGTGGAAGAGAGAAAAGGGAGTCCAGGCTCCTGCAATAGCTCACCCATTCCTTCAAGAAAGATACCAGTTCATGCAATGAAGGCTCTGCCCTCATGAAATACCACCATGAAGCCTCACCTCCAACACTATCACAATGACAATCAAATATCAAGTTTCAGAGGGGGAAAACATATTTGAACTGCAGCAGGAATTAAGTTTCCAACACACGAACTTTGTGGTACTCATTCAAACCATAGCATGATATGACCAGTCTTTACATTCTTTATTTCATTTAATCCTCATCCCAACCCACTAAGTTTGACAAAGTTACTGCCCCATTTTACAGAGGAAACAGGGACTCTCAAAAAGGAAAGAGCTTGCCCCTTCCTCCCCCACACATCTAGTGAGAAACCACCTGGATTTTGATCTCTACTTCTTTTTGTGAAATTGAGCACTTCCCATGTGCTACATGCAATATTAAGCTTGTTTCAGAAAAATTTTTTCAACCCTTCAAAAGTTGTTGTTATTATTATAACCAACTGAAACTAAGACTCAATGAGAAATCGGCCATGCTCATGTGGCCAAAAAGTATTGAAGACTGGGAACACATGTGTTCCATCTTTTTATCTCCCCAAACTAGCACAATACAGACAAACAGGAGATGTTGCTTAATAAATAGTGTTAGGTAAATTAAGGAATACCATGCATAAATATAAAACAAAATATAGGGGCTGGGGTTGTGGCTCAGTGGTAGAGCAATTGTCTAGCATGTGTGAGGCACTGGGTTCAATTCTCAGCACCACATATAAACAAATAAATAAATAAAGGTACATTAATAACTAATAAAAATATTTTTAAAAATGTAAGAGATAGTATAGTGTGAGTTGAAGCATGTGGCAAAGTCTGGGGGTGAAAAATGGAAGAGAATGATGAGTAGGAAAATAAATGGCTCTTTCCTTTAGTGTTTTTGACCAGAAAGCTGGGGTGTGGTTCAGTGGTATAGAGCTTGCCTAACATGTACAAGCTCAATTTCCAGCAAAACACACAAACTCACAAACACACACACACACACACACACACGAGCTCTTGACCTAAGACTTGTATATCCTGGAAAGGGTCTAGAATACTCATGAAACTTAGGAGATTAAAAGAAAAAATTCTGGTGCACTTTTGTGTCTTGAAATAATTTAAAAATAATTTTGAAGCAATTTTAAAAATAATTTGTTGGCAAGTTTTTCTTTTGAAATTTAGAAAATACAGAAAAATACAGATATACATAGCCTCCATCCATATTCTTCCCACTGTTTTTAAAAAATACAAATACTGGTCTTTTTTTTTTTTTCTGTTGATTTATATTTGTATTACTGAAGAGCAAACCCAGGGCCCTGTGTATGTAAGGCAAGCACTCTACCACTGAGCTGCACCCCAGCCCCATTGATATATTCTTAAAAGCACCCAAGAAATACACAAATGAAATGTTCCCTTTGCACCATATTCTTTAAAAATCTGCCATTAGTCAGGCGCAGGGGTACATGCCTGTAATTGCAGAGACTTGAGAGGCTAAAGCAAGAAGATTGCAAGTTCGAGGCCAGCCTCAGCAACTTAGTGAGACCCTAATCTCAAAACTTAATAAAAGGGCTGGGGATATAGCTCAATGGTAAATCATCCCTTCATCCAATCTGCAGTACCAAAACTAAAACAAACAAACAAAACCCCCAAATAATAGTAATCATCATCGTCATCATCATCATCATCTGTAAAAAGTTTAAGAATTGTTATTCTCTGGTAGATTGTCATTAGCATTGCATATGACTGAGCCTGTATGTTCAAGTCTGTTCTGACCCTCTGTATTATGGGTGATAGTATGCTTAGAGCTTCCTGTGGGTGTCTGCTGGGGCACAGTTACAATTGATAACAGCCCGAGCAGCTACACTGCTATCCTGATTTAACCCCAGGGACTTAAGTGTGTTTTCCTTAGTTCAGAATTTAATTCCTTTATTGGGAAACAACCATGGTTACTATCTTACCCACTTTGTCAAACATATATACATACATATATATGTGTATGTAATAAATATATATAAATAAGCAAATAAACATTCAGAGAGGACAAGAAGGTCATTTAGCTTAAAATTTGTGAAAGGAAGGCATTTCTGCTCTGATAGAAATAAGAATGCATTTCCTCATCCCATTTGGGATCTGCATGAAGTGCATCATCCAAAACAAGGATGTATTCTTTCCTTTCAGGGAATATTTACTACATCCACAAAATTTTTTCCTTCCTTCCTTCCTTCCTTCCTTCCTTCCTTCCTTCCTTCCTTCCTTTCTTCCTTTTTTCCTTCCTTCAGTGGTGCTGAGGATTGAACCCAGGGATTCATATACACTAAGCAAGCACTCTATCACTCCATCACAAACCTAGTCCCCCCGCCAATTTTTACCTTTGGAAAAATATGACAGTATAATTTATTTAAAGCACACTATTTTAAATTGTTCAATGGATATTTACATATGCATCCATGTATGTGTGCTACTACTGGTAAATATATATATGGCTCTTATTTGTATCAGGACATTGAGTGAGAATAAAAAGAAGTAGAGGATGACTCTAGACTGAGGGAAGCCCTGTGTCAGGCACCTGCAGGGCCCCTCATCCAGGCTATCTAGTTTGATATTTGGATAGGCACAATGAGGTCCATTAATTGTCAAGGTAGCTGAGTAATTTGTCCATGGTCACACAGTTAGACAGAATTTGAAACTAGGTCTCTTTGGCACTGTTAGACAATTGCCAACAAACCCTGGTATACTTGCTTAACTTGGGCTTCCCTGACCTCAGAGCCTGAGATATTTTATTTGAAAAGTGATAGCACAGAGGAAGACTGAGGCACAAGGACAGCTGTGAGACAGGGAAGGAGGGAAGAGCTATTGGTTTGGCCACTACTGCAGATAGCTTCTGGACCCCTTTGAGGAGCCCTGTACATGGCATCTCAATAGTGCTTTCTGGAAGACCAAGGCAGGCACTATGCATCCATTGCTTCCGTCATCTGTTGGTCGAGGGTGGTCCCAGGTCATTAGCTCCCCTCTGACATCTGGATTGTAATGTGCACATACCAGGCAATTTCCTGTGGGCATATTGCATGCACTGGACATGGAGAAGTCCTGGGACAGAAAGCAACAGGTATGTGGTGGAGTCCCAAGTAAGACACAATTAGATTGCACTTGTGTAAAGCTGGACAAAGACTACACGACCCCCTTCCCCCCACACACACACATACACCTAGAGCTGTGGCTGCAGTAGAAGACGGGGCTGAGAGGAGAGGAAGAGGTGTGGGAGCAGTATCCAGTATACAAACCAAAAGGGTTCTGGTAATGTAGACCCAGATTGGGAAACAGTTTTCCAGTAACATGCCTCTTCTTGTGGCAGAGATTTCAACCTGAACCCACATCTATTCTTCTGCTGGAGTTCATGTCTGGGCATGTTTGAGAAATTAATGGGGCAGACCTAAGAGAGTCTATTTGTATGCATTTGTGTGCATGACTTCTTTGTTTTTTCCTGAGGGAAGGGAAAGACATTTCTATGTCTAAGAACTTGGAAAGAGATACAGGGGAAATAGAAGGGCCAAGTGGTAAGTACTGCATAGCAAGGCCTGAACTCAATGGAAAAAAGCAGCTCAGGCAGAAAGGGAATGATCTATTTTATAAGGGATCTGATGCCTTGATATCCAGCAGCCTAAGCTCTTTAAAAACCCAGGTGATAAAGTGTGATCTAGAAGCCTGGGAGTTGGCGCTCTTCCCACTTCTGCATGGTTCTGTAGAGAAGATGGAATGTTTACAAGCAATAAACACAGTGTGGGTACTTGCAAGATTGTTGTTCCATGTGCTCTGGTTTCCCTGTATGTTTAGAGACTAAGGAAGAGTTGTTAAGGATGTTAGCAACTATCATAACTGGGGAACTGAACCAGCCTTCAGAGATGGCTCAGGGGTGGTCCAAGCAGTGGGGGACAGGAAGAAGGGTTGACAAGTGAGCAGAGCAGGATGCAG